TCTTCAGATCTACAGGTATATTTTTGAGGCTCAGACCCCAACGCTACTACGAAATCAGGCAACTGGAACCATCAGACTCAAAACGAAAGAATCATTCATCAAAGCGATTCGTAAAACACTGGCTGCTGGGACCAACTGCAGCTGGATTTCCAGCCCATTAAGTGAACATCCCATTCCATAGCCACCATCCAGAGAACAACTCCATCCTTACCAATTAGAGAAGGTGTCCAAAACACCAGCCTCAGCAATGGAAGTTTAAACCCAATGAGGGGATGCACATGTCCCGCTCCAGGCACGAGCATCCCAGGTGAATGAGGTCCTGCCTCTACACAGCAGCTGAAAAATGCACCTATAGTCCCCAGGAAGGACAATAATAAACGGCAGCAAAAAGTTTTGAGTATTTAGCAAACTCTCAAACACTCTAAGGGCTCTTGGTCATATATAAGCAAAGGGCAAACTCCACCTCAGGCTTATTTGGAGGTTTCTGTGGCTCAGACCGGCCGTTTCCCACCAGCCTGGTTTTACAGGGCTGGAGTGTGGAGCTGAGCAGGGAAGGAGCGGAGTTACAAGTCTCTCCTCCAGCTTTATTCCTGGCAGAGACAATCTGCAGCACTGTTGCTCTGCACGTCAAGTCTGGCACCTGCTTACAATAAATCCCTAACGATGCTGAAAAGTTAAATGTCCATTTAGTTTAATTTCTGGTTTAGATTTGGATTTCGACGTACCGTAAATGCTAGAAAGAATGTTTTTTTGAAACAATGCTGCATATTTACCTTGGAGATCCTCTATAATTGGCTGCCCTTCATCTAAGATTTCCTTCTCAATGCAAAAGGATGCCCTCAGCATAGCCAGCCTAACAGGGAGGCTTTGCCACCATCAATTGCTAATTGTGGGCAGCAGGTCGAGGGGGGGATTCTGCTACTCTACTCTGCTCTCATGAGACCTCTGTGCAGTGCTGTGTTCAGCTCTGGGGTCCCCAACACAAGAAGAACACGGAGCTGTTGGAGTGGGTCCAGAGGAGGCCATGGAGACGATACGAGGGCTGGAGCACCTCTGCTATGCAGACAGGCTGAGAGAGTTGGGGCTGTTCAGCCTGGAGAAGAGAAGGCTCCGGGGAGACCTTCCAGCAGCCTTCCAGTACCTAAAAGGGGCCTACAAGAAAGCTGGAGAGGGGCTTTTTACAAGGGCATGTAGTGATAAGACAAGGGGAAATGGCTTTAAGCTGAAAGAGGGGGGATTTAGATTAGATCTAAGGAAGAAATTCTTCGCTTTGAGGGCGGTGAGGCACTGGCACAGGTTGCCCAGAGAAGCTGTGGCTGCTCCTGGAATTGTTCAAGGCCAGGTTGGATGAGGCTTTGAGCAACCTGGTGTAGTGGAGGGTGTCCCTGCCCATGGCAGGGGGGTTGGAACTAGACGATCTTTGAGGTCCCTTCCAACCCAAACCATTCTGTGATTCTATGATTCTATGATAATTCTTTCACGAATTCTTTTGAGCAGGTTCCTTTGCAGGAGGGATGGGTTGATGCTCTACTTTGGGTCTCAGAAACTCAGGGGGTTTGAATCCCAGTAGATACTAAAGGAAGAAAAACGCCTCATGGGGTGATGTTAACCTGGGCAGATGGGAGTTTGGGAGTCTTCACTCCTGGGACACGTGTGATGGGAGGCAGCGCGATGGGC